CTGCCCCCCCCGGCTCCGGTTTCCTGGCGCAGGGAGGGTGGAGGCCCTCCTGAAAAGCCCTTTCATGCCGGGGAGCCAGACGTCCGCACCGGCCAGGGGAGCGGCTGGGCGCACAGAGCCTCTTTCACGGTGCCGGCAAGGGGGAAGGGGAGCTGCGCTCCTGGCCCCACAGCACCGCGGGGCTGCAGACCCACATCATGGCGTGGTGCGGCATGGCATGGCATAGCCCGGCACTGCCACTGCCTGGGAGCTGCTCCCTGTGCGTGGCACCCCCTGACCAAAGCACCCCAAAGTGCCACTCAAGGAGCCATGGGAGGCTGTCCCCATCCCCAGCTGCCAGGCGTTCCCATATCCACCGTGCTGCACCCAGCGCACCCGGGGTGCCCCCCAGCCCATCACTCCCCACCGGCACCGGGGTGCATGGGCATCCCCGTACTCACTCCACAACCCTCCTGCGCCAGCGTTTGTTCTCGCTGGGGTGGTGGCGGTAGGTGCCGTAGTCGAAGAGAGAGTCCATGGGGGCTTTCTTGGGCGCAGGGACCACGGCCGACTCGTAGATGGTGGCCTCCAGCAGCTCCATGGGCTTCGGGGCGCCTTTCCGGAAGGCCCCGTGGAATTTCATGCGGAGGTTTTGCTTTCCATCCCCAGCACCAGGGGGGCCCCGGGCCGCCTCAGCAGGGGACAGTGTATCCTCGCTCTCGAACAGGTTGGCCAGCGAGGAGAGTGGGAAGGAGTCGTTCTGGAGGGACCCGTCATCCCCCGGGCCCTCCCCGGCATCACCACCAACGGCACGTGAGGGATCTTCAGCGTCTGCCATGCTCCCTGGCCGGAGGGATGGGTGAGAGCAGCCTGCCTGGGCAGCTGCGACCCCCAGCTCCTTCCACGAGAGCAGGAGACCTGGCAGAAGAAAACCCAGTGTCATCCCCAAATAACCCCTGTCCCACCCCATACTCTCCCACGGGGCACCGTGCCCCCGTGCGGGAGCAGGTCCCACGCCGACCCCAGCAGTGGTTGGGGCCAGGAGGACCCCCCGCAGCCCAGGGTCTCCTGTCCTGCCCTGGCTCTCCTCACTGCCCACCTACCTGGCTGTGGGGACCCCTCACGTCTGTAGAGCCCCCACCAGCTGCTGTGCTGCCAGATTCAAAGCACAGCTGTAATGGGTGAGGTCGAGCCTGGCCCCGCTGCCTCTCCCTACTGTGGTCAGCTTGGGTGCAGCCCAGGACAGGGCACAGAGCAGACCCTGTGCACTCTGATCTGCTGCCTAAGGAAAGAAAACATTCCTGGGATACACGCCGCGCCCAGGGAAGCAGGGAGCTGCCACCACAGCGGAGCTGGGAGTGTGACTGGGAGCAGAACCGGGGCTGGTTCCCAATGGCCCACAGCTCCCACAGCCCCGGGGGGCTTGCTGGGACCTGACCCTGGGCACCCACAGTGCCAGCATGGCCACGCTGGGCACTGGGAGGGGGACGGACATGGCACAGGGGGGCCGCAGCCCATGGGAGGACAGGAGCAGCGGTTAGGACAAGAAATTACGGGTTTAGGTTGCCCAGAGGGACATGGGACTGCAGGAGAGTTGTGCTACCAGCCTGGAGAGCAAAGCATTGCACCATGCCACGGGCACCGCCGTGCCCTGCCCACCAGGTCCCTCCGGGCAGGCAGCGCTGGCAGGGGCATGGACAGGCAGGGCAGACAGGTGAGTGACCCCGGGTTGTCCCCCAGCCCCACCTTCCACGAAAACACACCCATGAAACACATCAGCGTTAAGGCTCGGCCCAGCTCCTGCCTCTGGGGAGCTCAGCCCTCCCTGTGGGTCCTGGGACAGAAAAAGCAGCCGGAAAACATATCATTTTCTGCTGGGCTGCAGCTTAGAACAACAAGCCATAATGGCAGGCTGGGCCCTGCCGGGGCAGGCAGGGATCTCTGCTGGATAACGTGCTTCTAATTAGGCAGCGTGTCCCACAGCCGCCCATGGCAGGCCCACGGGGGGGGCACATGAAACCCCCGCCGG